TCTGGTGGTTTTTATTACCATCGAAATCAAACTTCATAGAACAGCACTTTCTTCCACTGAGCAGTGTGTCAACTATCATAGCCACCGCCACAACTACCGCCATAACTACCGCCGCAACTAGCAGCATAGCTATCGTCGTAACTATCGTGGAGATCTTGGGTGTTATCGTCGTTTGAAAATTTGTTGGTGTCATTTATAGTTCCTGCTGAACGTCTCGTTTGATAACCTTCTAACGGAGTAAAGTCATAGTCTATAGAGCCTGATTCTGCTTTGAGTGCTCTATTGCGCAAATTCCGCGAAAAACACTTTTTACTCTTTTGGATACATGTATAAAATATAGAAAAAATTAAAAGAATTAACGAAATACCAAAAAGGATTGATAAAGTAACATAGATATATAATTCCATTTTTATGTCCGTTCACTAAGCACGTTTCTAGCATACTGACGATTCAGCTCAGCACATTTGTGCTCTATAATGCTCTCTTATGGTCTTCTATAAAGCAAATACTCTTAACAAATATCTTAAAAATTACTTAACTGTTATGCCAAAGCAATAACCTTTTTTGTTTAATAATTTCAAATTTGTCTGATAAAAGTTCAAGTTTTGCCCCAAGGCAAAAACAAAACAAAAGAGCCACACGTGTTAATCGGTTGAGAAGTCTCTTAATATTCGTTAATAAAAGAGAATGAGACCTGTAGGGCATAATGAAAATACCAATACTCTTAGCCATATGGCCTAAAAATCTTGTACATGTTTGGAATTTAGGTTTGCCGAAAAAAAACTGAGCACATTACACATTTAAAATTATTAATTATTTTTATTTCAGTATATAAATTATTTTATAAAAATAATAAATAAATAAAAAATACATTTTTAACGAAATCAATGTTGAATTTCTTAGAATTCTTAGAGGTATCATTGTTTGCATCCGCTCCGAAAAAAATCTTCTCAGAGAGGTATTTAGTTTTTAGACTCGTTCGGAAACAGTGTGTTATAATCTGGTGGAGGGTCATCTGGTGGATCATTAGGTGGGTCATTAGGTGGGTCGTTTATTATATCGTATTGCGTATCCGTTGTATCTGCTAGTGGTATCGATGCTTCAAAATCGGGTGGTGCCGATGCTTCAAAATCGGGTGCGTAAGGCGTACCCCGGAGCGGAATAACTATAGGCTCACACAAAGGTTGACTAACTGGAGGCCCATGCAAAGGCACATGCAAAGGAACATACAAAGGCGGATTGACAGGAGGTACACTCGCGGAAGGCTCTCTTTTATTTCTAGAGTTATAAACACGTTCAAGATACAAATAGCAAAGGAAACTTAATAAAATTATAGCTGCAGTTGCAAGTGCAAGTTCCAACTTCAGATAATCGTCCATTTTGATTACCGGTAGCGTTGATTGTTCCGAACGTACTGAAACCATTCGTTTTGGGATATTGCTACCATTTGTATATTAATTTGCACATGTAGACATACATATGTAGACTTTCAGCGTGAAATCATAAAAATAAAGAGCAGGAGAGAAAAGTTATAAAGAGCTTAACACTGCCTCAGAAGAGAGATAGCCGGTATTTATCTTTAAAAAATATTTGGTAGTACTCTATTGCTGCAAACTACCCTTTTTCCAGTAGGCATCTGGATCTTGTGATCTTCTGTTGGGAGAAAGTAGTCTTATAGAATGAAATACAATTTTGAAGAAATAAATTGAATGTTTTCATTATAACAATATCCTCTAAAATTATAATTTTCTAAAAATATACATTATTTCATGAAAAATTTCACACGACGAATTTTAAATATTAAAATAAGTATTGCAGCTTTAATCTTCGATGAACATGGTCGTTGCTTCTATTATTGTAGCTATCAGGCTGGGGCTGACTTCCCCGATTGTCTTTCTTCAGAACTGGGGAGTTATATTCTCGTGGATCATCTGGTGGTGCCGATGCTGGAAATTCTTGTCTGTTGGGCACACACTGGTGGTCAATCGTGGAACGGTTAGAGTCCTCGCAAGCATTACGTAAAGCAAGTAGAACTAAGAGAACACCGATCAAAATAATTAGGAGCCATATTAGAGGACTCGACAGAAATTCTTCCATTTTAAGTTCCGATGAAGTTGAATGTTCAAAATGTACTGAAATAATGATTTATGCATGTCGTATGATTCATGCTATTTAGAACGACTTAAATCATTTTTAATAATCAGTTCTAACCCGAAGAGATAACCCTCTGTCAATCAAATTTGGCATCTTTCGTATTACTTCAGAATTTTAAGACAGAACAGTCGCATTTTGGGGGTCTGCTCACCATGGCAACCAAGAAAAAGCTCATGTTGTTGTTATGAATGAATTAATAAAGAGTCGAAACTTGTGGTTTCTTTTTTGCCAAAACAAAATGTTTATTGACCGCTCTTCAATTCGACTTATCTCTCAATATACATAAATAAAGGAATGAGAAGTTCTCTTAATTTCTACTAATAATGTTGTACTGTTTTGTTGTTTTTTTTTCTCTTTGTATATGATACTTCCCGTTTTTATTAAACTACATTTGAGATCTTGGGACTTTTCAGACTCTTAGGGAAATAGAGTGTTATATTCCGGAGGTAGTTCATTCCTCGGGTCGTTTGGTTTATCTTTAGGTTGGTTATCAGGCGGCTCACATGCTGTATCATCTAGTGGTGCCGATGCTGCGAACTCTGGTAGGCTCGGCACGTCATCAGCATCTCGCTCACACCCGAAATACTTTCGAACCCTTTCACATTCCTCCGCAGACCACAAATAACGCAAAACAAATATAACTAAACAGAAAAAGGAAATGGGTAAAATGCAATCAAATATTTTATCGAAATCCATTTTGAATTCCGTCGAAGGTGAAAGCTTCAAGACAACTGAACTATGACGTTATACTTTGCGTGTGAAGCGGCTGTTTTTTGCGTATGTATACATATGCTCTCAGCATAGAATTTCTAAAGCAAGCAAGAGCCATTTTATACAGTGAACTCTTTAATGAGGAATACTCAAGCATAGTAATAAAAAAAACCAAAACAGTTCAATTTTACATTTTAAATACCTTTGGTTGGGGAGCAATTTCAGATGCAAATAGTTGAGCACTCTTGATTTTTATGTTGTCACTTTTTCGAGTCAACACTGTAGTCTACATAAACAAGTCTTATTTTTGGGGGTGAACGCTCCAAAACAAATAAAAGAGACCACAAAAATAAGAGTTTCCTATTGTTTGCCAAATGCTCTTAACTTTCGCATGTCTCTTAACAAAAATCAAATGGTCTATAAGACACCAGTAAATTTTCAAAAATATCCTTTTCTTTTATTGTATTCCAGGAAGAAAAATTGTAATTGATGATTTTCAGTTTCTTTATTCAAACATAAAAAATTGAACTTATTTTTAACAAGGTTTAGTACAAAATACTAACACACATAAATCAAATGTTTATGAATAGAAAAGCTTTTTTTAAAAGCCGAAATTAAATTAATTAAAAGCCAAAAAAAATAATAAGTGTAACAATTCTTCAGATTATAGAATAATTGATATTATACCGTTGTTGGTATCTGTTTAGACTTTAATAGTAGGTATCATATGTAGTTTCTTAAAAGTCCTGTTCTTCCAGTGGATCTGTCTTTTCGAACTTTTAAACAAATCGTTCGTTTGTATTCGATGGTAGGTTATCCCCTGGGTCGTCAGGGAGTTCATTGTGTGAGTCATAAGGTGGCGCATACGTTGTATCAACTGGTGGTGCCGATGCTTCCAAATCTAGTGGGTGAGGTACAATCAGGAGCTCATTCACTGGAGGCTCACACTCGGCAGGATCAATAGTTCTACAACATTTCGATGAAGATATCATATAACGTAGAACCATAATAACAAATACAAAATAGCAAATGTTTACAAAGTAATCTATAAGTAAAATGATGAGATTAAACCAATGTATTTCCATTACAAAGGACTGTTTTGACTGTTCTAAAATATAGGGAGTTAGTTAATCATAGGATGCGCATGACACAAAAATCAAATAAAAGAGAGCCAAAAGGAAGAGTTTGATATTGTTTGTCGAAAGCTCTTAACTTCCGCATATCTCTTAAAATCCTAACATTTATTTCATAGTTTTGAATGAAAATGGTTGTGTATATAAAATATTCTGTTGAAGATAAATAATTTAAAATGCAACATTTATTTTTCTGTGTATATTGTCTATATCCATCTCTTTCTCCGCATGATAGTGTGGGTGGCTTCATGTTTTGTGGCTGCATGTTTGGTCAGCCATGAAGGCCACAACAAATGCTGCAGACCCACCCACTCACCACTCACCAGCCCCTTTAACCCCTCTTTCACCTTAACCCCCCAATGTTGTTACTTGCAATCTTGACATTTAATTATCCGCTGTTGACTGCAGCTCCCACTGAGGCTGCTGACTCTGTGTGTCAAGGTCCTCGGTTTGTTTTCGGTGGCTGCCAGGAAACGCATCTGCTGAGGTGATCTGCTGCCAAGGTCTAATTCGAGCAGGAAATTCGACCAAATGTTCAAGGCGGAATTTATCAATTTGCGAGAATGACAGGACTTTTGGTTGTGGAATCAGGCACATTGAATGAAACTTGAAGCTCAATTTAAAAAATGTATAAACAACATTTTTAGGTTTTTAATGTTATAGTATAAACGTGACTTTAATTTTGAAGGACATTTATTTTATTAAACCCTCATAATTGTAATTAAATAAAAATGTTTATAAAATATGAAGACATTAGCTTTGACCAGGCATTACATATATATTTTAAAACTTTAAAAACCTTAAAGTAAGTAAAAAGGTAATCTTAAAATGATTGCTGATAATAATTATCATTATTATTATTTATTTATTTTAATTGGTGCTAAGTTGTAGATTATTTCTAATATTGATTGATTAATTTTATGTAATAACTGGATTGTTAAAATAAACTAGCAATACTAACTTACTAATTGTTAACCGCTTGCTCTTTAATTCCCTTTTCAGTTGTCGAAATGGAGCGATGCGAAAGCCGGCGAAGAAGGCGAAGGTAAGTCATTAATCTTGAAGAAATCCCGGCCACATCTCTGCATTACGTATACGCAACGTGGTTGCCATTGAATTGTTACGAACTTACGAAAATATCCTTTCATTTAAAAGTTTCTCAGACAAGTTTAGTAGACTTCGAAAATTATATAGTATTTCACGATTTTAAGTAAATAATAAATAAAAACCGTAAGCAGCTGTGATTACAGCAGAAATTTAAATGGCAATTGCAGCTGTATGTTGTCTGAGTTTTCAGGTCAATCAATAGCATTCCGATGGCTCCTGCCTGTGATTAGTATGCCATGAAAAGCCGTGAAAAGAATAACTGTGGGTGTTTGTGAGTCAGTGTGAGTGAGTGCGACGCCATTTTGCTTGGCATGCAGCTTGGTTTACGTGTGTTCGCGACCTACGACAACATGAAAGAAAGTTGCCTAGGTTAAGTCCTGCGCAGACTCACACAAAGGCACTCGAAGGAATTCGATTCTACAAGAGTGTGCGTGACCTGCATATGTGTGTGTGTAGGAGTGTGTGCACTGTAGGTGCAATCAATGAAAGTTCAACGCACGTCGGAGGCAAAAAAAATGGGACTTTGAGTTGACTGAAACTTATCCAGTTAAAAAAAGAGAACATTTAAAACTTATTTTACAAGTGGGCTAAATAAAATTATTAGTGAATGATATTTATGATTTTGTAGCATACTTTTCGAGGTAATTTTTTAGATACTTAAAAAAAAATCTCCAATGAATAGTTTTAATATTTTGAAACCATTACCACTATTTTGAAACCACTAAAAGTAATGATGAGTCATCAGTTTGTATTTTTCTTTCCTAAATTAAATGGACTTAAAAGCTTATAGTTGGTTTTTAAAGTGAAAAAGGCTATCTTGATTCTTGTCAAAGAATCTGTAGGCAATCCACAAAACACTCGACTTAAGGGCTATGCAAACATGGTTGCAATTTTTAGGGCGCATGTGAGTTTGATGTTTGTTTGGCTGCCGATGCGGCCAATGTCATTTGAAAATATATGCCAAAAAAAGTGACAACATATCGAACCACACATGCACATTTAATACGAAAAAAAAGAAAACAAAATAAAAAACAAACAGGCCATAACTGACCCAGATTTCTGATGCCACCACATATCGCGTATACGCCGCGTGTTTGTGTTTGCTTTTAGAGTTTTTCCTTTTCACCCTGCCCCTCTTTTTCCCCGTTTTTGTTTTTGCATTTTCCGATGAAAATTATTATTTTGTTTTCTAGCCATGATAACGATAACGATTACACCCCAAGGCTATAAAAATCAGGGAAAATTCAGTTTTGATGGCAATTTGATGATTTCCAGGAGCTCTTGCCTTGAATAGCATCAGTGCATCGGTGTGGGTGGGGCTGCTGTTCAAGGTCGAGCTCGGTTGAAAATAACCGGATTATCTTTGCCAGACATCTGTGTGGCTACACAGATAACAAGAGAGAACGCTATAGTCGGGTGCCCCGACTATCAGATACCCGTTACTCAGCTTAAGGGAGTGCGAAGGAGATAAAAACTTTGATCCGACGTAACTTTTTAACGAATGGTCCGATTTAAAAAATTTCTTCTACATTTCGATAGGTATTCATAAACATAATAAAACTGCATCTTTACTTTTCCGAAATATTGAAATTTTTAAAATCGTATACAAGCGATTGTGGGCGTTAGAGGGGGCGTGGCACCCTTTTGAAATAAACTTGCGCTGCGTAGGAACTCCTAGAATCTGCATGCAAAATGTCAATCTTCTAGCTTTTATAGTTTCCGAGATCTCAGCGTTCATACAGACAGACAGACGGACAGACAGGCGGACAGACGGACAGACGGACAGACGGACAGACGGACAGACGGACATGGCTAGATCGACTCGGCTAGTGATCCTGATCAAGAATATATATAGTTTATAGGGTCGGAAACGCTTCCTTCTACCTGTTACATACTTTTGCACGAATCTAATATACCCTTTTACTCTACGAGTAACGGGTATAAAAAGTATGGGGATGAATAGATATTAATATATATACATATTTTATTTTTACCATTGAATAATGTAAAATGGATATTGGAAACTGAATTTTTCTGAAATCAGAAAAGAAAATTACAGTTTCCAGCTGTATTTTTCGAACAGTAAATTCAACTTTTAAAGATTAGATATTTTGTTAATTTATTATTATTAAAAAATCTCTATTTCTTTCCCAATTAGACGACGGAAAAAAGCTGCACTTTGTGAGTCCGGCACGCCGGAAATCGGTGCTGGCCCCCATTCTCAATAAGATCAAGAATGGCGCTGATGCGGCGGACAGTGCCGAGAAGAAACTGGGTAGCGAGAGCAGCGGCAGTGGTCACATAGCGGTCCAGATTGAGCCAGCCAGGCGGGTGAAGGTGGGTCATAGGCTCAGATCTCTTATCTCAGGAACAATATAATTATATCAATCTACCTATTAGCGTCACAGCATCCACGGCATGATGGAGGAGGAGAATACGATCCGGCCGCATCAGGAGATCCGCCAGCTGACGCTGGAGGAGAAGAAGTTCCTGCTGGCCGTGGAGAGGGGCGATATGGCCGGCACTCGCAGGATGCTGCAGAAGGCCCAGGACACGGAGTACATCAATGTGAACTGCGTGGATCCGTTGGGGCGAACCGCCCTGCTGATGGCCATTGACAACGAGAATCTGGAGATGGTGGAGCTGCTGATTAACTACAATGTGGACACGAAGGATGCGCTGCTGCATTCCATCTCGGAGGAATTCGTTGAGGCTGTGGAGGTGCTGCTGGACCACGAAAACGTGACCTTTCACAGCGAGGGCAATCATGTGAGTGGAAAATAGAGCTGGGAAAATATCGAAAATATCGATATTTTACTATAATATCAATGAAATCAAGGGAAAGTATCTAAAAAAAATTATAATAATTATGTTTCAAAAATATAAAAATTATGTTTAAATAATTATGTTAACAATAAAACGTCAGAAAACATTGATATCTCCTATGAAAATTATCGAAATTATCGATAATGTAGATTTTCGTTCAAGCTCTAGTGGGAGGTGTTTATTTTCGAGCTTTCTTGAAACTCTCTTCTACTTTCCCTTAGAGCTGGGAGTCCGCCTCGGAGGATACTTCGACCTTCACGCCGGACATTACGCCGCTGATCCTGGCCGCTCACCGCGACAACTATGAGATCATCAAGATCCTTTTAGATCGGGGAGCCGTACTGCCCATGCCTCACGATGTGCGATGTGGTTGTGATGAGTGCGTTCAGTCCCGTCAGGAGGATTCGCTCCGCCACTCGAGATCCCGCATCAACGCCTATCGGGCCCTGGCCAGTCCCAGTTTGATAGCACTCTCCTCCAAGGATCCCATCCTCACGGCCTTCGAGCTGTCCTGGGAGCTGCGCCGGCTAAGCTTTCTCGAGCACGAATTTAAGGTGGGCTTGGAAATTGACTTTGTAATTATTTATTTATCATATCATGCTTTAATCTTACTCCCCAGAACGAGTACCAGGAGCTGCGCAAGCAGTGCCAGGACTTCGCCACCGCCCTGCTGGACCACACTCGCACCTCCCACGAGCTGGAGATCCTGCTCAACCATGATCCCACCGGTCCAGTTTACGAGCACGGCGAACGGATGCATTTAAACCGCCTCAAACTGGCCATTAAACTGCGACAGAAAAAGGTAAAATCTGAATTTAGAAACCTACATTTATTTATTATAAATCCCTTTTTTAGTTTGTGGCCCATTCGAATGTGCAGCAACTGCTGGCGAGCATTTGGTACGAGGGTCTGCCCGGTTTCCGAAGGAAGAACATGGCCCTGCAAGCGGTCGACATTATCCGGATCGGCATCATGTTCCCCATCTTCTCGCTGGCCTACATCCTGGCTCCCTACTCCAGTATTGGCCAAACGATGCGCAAGCCGTTCATCAAGTTCATCTGCCACAGCGCCTCCTACTTCACCTTTTTGTGTGAGTAATTTAAGTCAATTTTTTAATATTACTATATTAATATTTTAATTGTATTTTAATTGCGTGAAATTCCCTTTTCCAGTTCTTTTGATGCTGGCTTCGCAGAGAATAGAGACCTTCATTGGCGGCTGGTTCTTTGCGGACTCCTCGGGAATGCTCAACAAGGTGGAGGAGCTGCCCACGAAGCGAGGGGCCAAGCCGACCTTCATCGAGTGGCTAATCCTGGCCTGGGTCAGTGGACTCATCTGGAGCGAGGTTAAGCAGCTGTGGGACGTTGGTCTGCAGGAGTATCTCAATGACATGTGGAATGTGATCGACTTTGTAACGAACTCCTTGTACGTGGCCACGGTGGCTCTGCGGGTGGTGTCCTTTTTTCAGGTGATTTTCTGGATTCCCCTAATGAAATTCCCGTAGTTAACCATTTATTTATTATATACTGATTAGGTCCAAAAGGAGATGATATACAACTCGCATGCCACGGACCTGCCGAGGGAGCGATGGGACGCCTGGGATCCGATGCTAATTTCGGAGGGCCTTTTCAGTGCAGCGAACATTTTCAGTAGCCTCAAGCTGGTTTATATATTCTCGGTGAATCCGCATCTGGGGCCACTGCAGGTGTCGCTGTCCCGGATGGTAATGGACATCATGAAGTTCTTCTTTCTATATGTCCTGGTCCTGTTCGCTTTTGGCAGTGGTCTCAATCAGTTGTTGTGGTGGGTTTATCTGTCTTTTGTCTTAAAAAACTGATTAAATATTAAAATTATTTTTAATATCCTAGGTACTATGCTGATCTGGAAAAGAAGCGTTGTCCTGAGGTTTCTCCCATGAGTGCTCTTCTAAACATGAATGGAACCAATGATCCAAATGCGTGTATAGTGTGGCGTAGGTTCTCTAAGTAGGTCATTTATTTAATTTTAATAAATTTATGTAAAGGTGATGCAAATTAATTTAATTGCTTACAGTTTATTTGAGACCACACAAACCCTTTTCTGGGCTGTCTTTGGCCTAATTGACTTGGACAGCTTTGAGTTGGATGGCATTAAGATCTTCACCAGATTCTGGGGCATGCTGATGTTTGGCACCTACTCAGTTATCAATATTGTGGTGCTGCTCAATCTGCTCATAGCCATGATGAATCATTCGTACCAACTAATTTCGGTGGGATATTTGTAGTCTTCACTTAATCTTTTAACTTATTTAATTTTTGTATTTTCTAAGGAACGTGCTGATGTGGAGTGGAAGTTTGCTCGGTCCAAACTGTGGATTAGCTATTTCGAGGAGGGCGGAACCTGTCCACCGCCATTCAATATTATACCCACTCCAAAGTCCATTTGGTATGCCATTAAATGGATGCGTCGGGTCTTCTGCAGTGGATCCTCGGCCGCTCGAAGGGAACATCTCAAGACGATAAGGGTTGGTACCCCAATTCCTTAGTTATATTAATTTAATATTAATTATTAAAATAATCTATCCTTTTCTGGCATCTCCCACAGCGAAAGGCCCAGCAGGCGAGTGATCGGGACTTCAAGTACCAGCAGATAATGCGAAATCTGGTCAGGCGGTATGTGACTGTGGAGCAGCGGAAGGCCGAGTCGCAGGGCGTGACCGAGGACGATGTGAACGAGATCAAGCAGGACATTTCCGCCTTCCGGTGCGAACTGGTGGAAATACTCAAGAACAGCGGCATGGACACGAATGTGACGGCGGGTCAAGGAGGTGGTAAGCCGCAGAAATCTCTCTGGATTACTAACCGTCCTCTATTTGAATGGGTTCTCTCTTTCTGCCCACAGGAGGTGGTGGCAAGAAGAACCGCCAGAAGGAGCGTCGCCTGATGAAGGGCTTCAATATCGCACCGCCTGGCTCGACGGGATCTTTGGCACCCGTGGCCGAGTTCTCCACCTCGCTGGACAACTATGACAACCAGCACGAGATCCTCAGCTCCACACTGTCCACCCTCTTCACGCCGAACTTTATGCACAAGCGCCAGCAGAGTCAGGCCGGAAGTGGAGGCGGTGGATCGGAGTCACCGACCACGCCCACCGCCTGCCAGGGAACTCAGGGGGCGGCAATGGCCTCCAGCAGCCAGGTCACCAAGTACAATAAGTCCGCTTTGAAGCCGTACAACAAGCGCATTGCGGGTCATAAAAAAAGATGGGGTATGTAATGCTTAAAATTATAACAAAGGAAGTAGAGAAAGTTAAAGAATGGAAATCAAATTATTATTATACAAGTTATCAAGAAACAAAAAGGCTGTTGCTAAGAGGCAAAAGGTGCACCTGGCGCCATCTACATCTAATGTTCAAAGTGTAACATTATTTATCCTGGCGCCATCTACATCTGGTGTTAATGGTGTGTAATTTTCCTTTGCAGGCACCTTGATAGAAGCCGCCAAGGTTGGCAACGTGAGCAAAATGCTGGGCCGTTCGAAGTCGGAGGACTCGGTGTGCAACTCCTCGCACACAGCCACCCCAGTTCATGGCCAGATGCGGGTCACCTATGCCCAGAATTCACCCCAGCAGGGATACGGATACCATGGCGAGACCACCAGTTCCACAACAACATCAAATACACCAACTCCAACGATTTCGGTGGTCAGCAATTCGCCAGCAGCCCATGCGGGAGTGGGTTCGCACTTCTTTCACACGACAAGCGGTGGGTTTGAGTTCTAGAAATACCCACTAATCGTGCCAGTAATCTAACCGAATTTCAAAATAACCCAGGTCTCACTGCCATTGCCGCTTTGAAGCGGAAGCGCAAAAAGTTCTCATCGAGCAAGAATATTTGCCCCGTTACCGAATCCGTGGCAGCGGCCAATGCAGCTGAGTTACTTAATGATAAGGTGAGTTGCTAGGTTTTCAAGAATTAGTTTTTATTATTATGTTTTTTTGTAGACCCTGAAACGGGTGTCCAGCTATCCGGCAGCAGAGGCCGGTGTGCAGCACAAAGATCCGGCCCAGTTGGTGAAACCACGGCGGCATGAGCAAACCCAGAGCCAACACGACTCGGTGGAGACCAATTCTACCTTCACGCTGTCCATCGATCCATCCAATACGTCCGTGAACTCCAGGGAACCTCTGATCAGCACCAGTTGTGTTTCTACCACGGGTGCTATTGGCTGAAAGCACTTTCGGAACTCAAAGGAGGCTAGAAATACCAAAGAAAAGAAGGGGCAGATGGGATTGCCAGAGATACCAAAGATAAAGCAGCTAAACTACTTAGATGGCGCACCTGAAGCATACACTTAGATACTATACAGATACACTTTGTTGACATTTTTGATATGAAGACATAACCGAGTATGGAGGTAAACTAACTAAGGAAGCTATACTTAAAACCCACACAGCCTAGATCTTAAATTACCTCACCATGTTAAGATATAGAGGCCATTCGATGGAATTAGCACACACCATACCCCTCACTAACTGTTAATCACTAACTCAGAAACAACTAACGTGCACTACTGAAACGATATTTCCTTTACCTCAAACTAACCTATAAAACTTTATTTACAAAACTTCAGTCTACACATCTTACTATCGGATCGTATCTATACATTCATTCATTTAAGAACCAAAGTTTTCTGATCTTTCCAATTACAACTACAGGATGTGGTGGTCCGATTTTGATACAATACCAAATTAAAATCCAAAATACATACATATATTAAAAACAAGCTTCTTGCATAAAAATTATCTCCTCCACCTGAACCATGAAGCACACATATCATGCCAATCGCTTTATAGAGAAACCTTTTACACCAAAAAAAACAAAGTACCAACTCCTGAAAAGAGTTGAAAATATAGATCCAATAAAGACCTTTACCAAATACAAATACGAATACTAAACTATCCCATATCGATGTTGAACGTTGCCTTAGCATGAAACATATTTTTTATACACATAAGTTTTGGATGAACATTGAATTACTGAAACGTACTGTACCCGCAATGAGGGAAGCGCTGTGTATTTGTTGATTTGAGAGAACGGATTTTGAAACCAAGGATTTGTTGTTGTTCCAGCAAGCAAGCAAGCAAGCAGAAAAGCAAAGCAAACGCAAAGCAAGACAAGTATATAAATCAAAAGAAACCACAATTTTATACACCGATTTTAAACAACACGACAAACAATAATCGAATCGCATACTACTAAAGTGTTTGCATTTTATGGGTATGTATATTCGCAAGATGTGCATATCCATAGCCTACACACACGGCGATTTTAGCATATATAATATATATACATATATAGAATACAAATATGAATAATCGAAATTTTTAGATGATTTTTGCGTTAAATTAGACAATTACCCACACAAATACACAAATAATATACGAAATATCAACGAAAACAATAACAAGGAATATCATATAGCATTTTATATAAATACTTTCTTCTGGAACAGCAGAAATATGTTGCACAATTGCCAGACATATCTTTGCTAAAGCCAGAAAAACAAACAATCTAAGGAGGCAAACGAAATACCAAATACAATGTTAGAATAATATAAAAAATTGTTATTTGCACGGAAACATAAACTAATAAAAATATATCGAAACGTATGAAGCATTTTTTATTTGGCTTTTAAAACCATATTTTAGCTTTTCGATCTGAAAATGAAATAATATATAAATATTAAAAATAGCTCCAGATCTGCTAATGGATAGGGGTACTTACTTTGTCCATTAATTAAAGGCCTTGTCCCAGATTCAAATAAAAACAAAATGTTTTTTTAATATATAAAAATATACAAATAATAAAATCAAACTTTTTATTTTTATTTTGGCTGCTTTTTCAACTAAGATGGTTAAATATTTAACAAAATTAAAATCTCTCTAGCACATAAATCAAAAATAAACTAATTTTAAAACATATTTTCCATTTCTGTTTGAAATAAAGTAAAACTTTAGAGCCTTTATGCTAGCATTGAAAATATTACTTGACTTTATATATAAACCTCAAGAAACCGTCAGTTTGCAGCTCAAAATAAGGGGTGCTTGGGGTTATATCAAAATCCAGGAGTTCTTTGAGTCCACCTTTTATCAACAATACCAAAGATTAAACTTACATTATAGTCTCTCGTCTTTAGTGTTTTCATTGTCTAAGATCTATTTAAATCATCTACTTTTCCTTATAGCAAATTTTGCATGAAACCTTTATGGGTTCTAGGTAAAGTCGCAGGATATTGCACCTTCGATTTGTCTGTTTAACGATGCTCCAACTCAGTGTGGGAAAAATCAACTAAACTGGACTGCATTCAAAAGAAGACGACATCAGTGGAGTAACTCGGATGCTGACAAACACTGGCCAAACTGAACAGGATCGAGGGCCAACAGACAGACCAGCAGGAAACTTGGAAGTAGATCATTCCGCAGGACTTGGAGGCAAAACTGGACAGGATTGAAGGGCATAAAACACAGGCAATTGAGACCAAAAAATAAATCCTTCGAGAAGTCCGGCAAAGAACTCTATCCTGAATTAATAAGAAAATAATAGAACCGAAGTTCGAGCGGATTGGCTCAAGATATTTTTACACAGGAAATAATAAGGATCAAGATTGGACTACTGCTGCAAATACTGTGATCGGTATTATGTCTAATGTACAAATATCTTGAGTCAATACGCTTGAACTTCGACGATATGATTTTCCCATCAATTCCGGATAGACTTTTCCGCAAGTCTGCTACCCGGTTTATATATTGGTCTGTGACGCCTGCCGTTATTTTTGATGACCCTCCCTTCTGTCCAGGTTCTTCTCGATGATCTACGGAACGATCTAATTTCAAGTTTCCTGAAGGACTACCTACCGGCCTTCCATCATGGGCAACTTGATCAGCGTTTTATTAGGCTTGTTGACCCAGATGTATATTGCATAGGTGGATTCGTATAAATGTCAAACCAGTTAAGATGAATTTCCAACACTGACTTGAAGATCGTTAAACGAACAACAGAACAAACAGGATCCATAAAGAGTCCGTGCAATAGATGCTTCGAAAAATCAGCAGAGGATTTCATTGAACTTCGAATATGTAATCACGAATAACGAGGAAATCTAATGTAGGAACTCTTTAGTTATTCGTTGTCAGAGCTTTTCTTTGTCGTTTATAAGGAAATATTTCTTCTTAAGTAAAAAGATAAATTTTAAAATATTGAAAAGGCCAATATAAAAACCTTAATATTTTCTGCTCATTTACGAATACTAGTTTCAAATACAGTTATGTGCTCTTTTAAAAATCCGAAAAGTCCCAAGCAGCTGAATGAAAAATCCACAAACAAAAACCAAAAGTATTTTTTATTATTTGTATATCGCATTTATTTTAAATGTTTCATATATATATTTTGCAAATAAATTTTATAAGTTGTAAACATAGAAACATACATAATTTCCATTTATTTATCATTTGATTCCGATTTAAGTTTATTTATTTATTTATTTTATATATATATATATAATTTTTTTAATTTGCATCAAGCAAATGTTTATGCTTTACATGAACAAACATTTGTTTTGTTTTGTGTATTTTTTTTTGTTTTTTCGTGATTTTTTAGATAAGATTCCGTTTTGTATAATTCACATTAAATGCTATGGAAAGAAACAATTACATTTAGTTTAATTTATTTAATTAGAAAAATAATAATAATTGGAATATAAATCACTTTGCCTAGTTGGGGCTGCTATAGCCACATGGACAGCCTACGAAAAAAAGTGTTGGGTTGAATTTGTTTAGTTGGTTGTTGGTTGGATGTGAAATGCAACAGTTGGATTGCCAGCGGATATAGCAGCCCCAACTGGGGTTGCCTTGGTTTTCTCGATTTCTGCTTGTCGTATAATATGTTTATAATAAATTGTGTAATAATTCGTATAAAAAGGTTTGTGAGAATGAAAGAAGCGTCTGCTGTTTTACATATATCTATGTTTTGTATATATATATATATTTATATATCTGCGTAGATTGGAGCGATCAGGGGGAAACAATTATACAGCACTGAATACTTGTAGCTAGTAGTCTAATAAATTCATACTTTTCGTTTAATTATTCGTTATGCATTTGCCCTCCGGCATCAATTTGCGGCGCCCCCTTTACAATTCGGTTACCTTTTAGCTACTTAGGAGTTTCATTAGTTGGTGCAATTTGTTGACCAGCTATCTACAATCGTTATGTTGGAATACATTTTACAAAAATGGTTCTTGTAAAAAAATCTTGCTCTTGCTCTGGCTAACATGCTAGTTCTACACGTATCATACAGGAATTTTACAAACCCGCCGGAAGGGGCAAATGCAATTTTTGGGGCCACACGGAAAGTAACAGCTTGAGAAGCATTTTCTTTTTCGTTTTCGGAACAGGATTTGACAAGTACTGATGAGCCTTTAGGTTCTTTCGCCGGCTGCTCAGCTCTCTTTTGTTTATAGCACATATGGAGATTAGACTTTCGGTTTTTTGTGACAACAAATATTATAAGTAAATACCATTAATAACATTTAGCTGTGTGAATGTAAGCCGTTGCGGTTTTTGTGTACATTTAATACAATTATGGGGGTTCTGTTTCTGCCTTCTCATCTCAGATCTCATCTCATCTCTCTTTCTTCACCTCTATAACTTTCTACCTTTCGCTAGATTTTTTGATTTCCTGTGTTCTGCTTGTTTTGTTTAAAATTAGACAATATACAGTTTGATTTTGTTTGATTTTGTTACGGTATACATATAAAAAATACATAATTACAACTAATGGTTTAAATCACTTTTTTGAGACATAAAGTGTTTCATATTTGTTTTTCTTTTTTTTCTATTTTTGCCTGTCGTTTTGCCTGTCCCACGTTGGGCGCCAGTTTTTTTGTTTTCCATTTTATGTCCTCTTAGCCCCGCAGCATATTGACGAGCATGGCGACCAGGAAGGTGCCCACTAGGAAGGAGACCACAATGCAGACGGCCTTTTGCTGGTCACTCAGACGCCTCCGGTTGGAGTACAGTGAAGTTAGCTTACCGACGATTCGCCTCAGTCCGCCTGCCTGGGCCAAGCTGGAGGAGATGGCTGCCGCCGTCGAGGAGCTGGAACTGGATGAGCTGACGCCCAGGCCGGTGTGCGGATGGTGGGCGTGGTGCATGTGATGCGAGTGGTGCATGTGGTGCTGATGCTGGTGGTGCGAGTCGGTGGCTCCTGCTACAACGAGGCTGCCGCCGCCGCCGTTGCCTCCGCCTCCGCACGGCTGATGGTGGTGGTGGTGATGATGATGATGGTGATGCAGGGGATCTGCGCAGGCATTGAAACCGGACAGCTCCTGCTGCAGTCGTCCAATCGCCACGGGATCGGCTCCAACGCCGCTCGCACCGCTGATAGCGGACGCACTCACCGATCGCAAGTGCAGGCCATTGGTGGAACCATTGCCGGCCGAGAGTTTCCGGCTGCTCCGCTGGCTGCTGCTGGCGGCCACCGCCTGTGGTGGCGCCGTCGAGCCGTGCAGGTGGTGGTGGCAGGTGGCCGAGCTGGGATCCAGCTCGCTGGGCACCTGGTAGCGCAACGGACTCGACGGCTGGCCGTAGAGCAGCTCTCCGCCCGCCGCTATCCGGACGGGACACACGCGGAACTGATAGCAAGTGCCGGCGGCCAGATTGTCAATGGTGAACTTGGTCTCGGGGCCGCGATACAACTGCCGGTATTCGTGATTGGCCAGATTGATGGGAGCTCCGCTCGAGCTGCCGCTGGAACTGCTGCTGCGACCCTTGGGCGACAGGGATTCACCTTCTAGCTCTGCGGCGCCCAAAACGGCGTACTGCAGCTCGTATTCCACGCGATCGTGGAAGGAGTTCTTCGAGTGCTGCCACTCCAAAGTCAGCTGCATGCCCAGCTGGCCGGGCAGCTCCATGAGGCACACGCTGCCCTCCTGGACGACGCGCGGTGGCTTTATGTTCGCTGGGAGAGTGGCCGAGGTCTCGAAGACAAACTCCTCGGAATAATCGCCATCGCCAGCCCGATCCGTGTGGGCGTAGATGCGGAAGGTGTAGCTGCTACGCTCCTGCAGCTTGTGCACCTTGCACATGCAATTAGTGCCGGAGTAGACGGCCTGGAATTGCTTGGCCCGCGACACATACATCTCCACAAAGTATTTGGTGAAGTCGCCTCCGCTGCCAGAGGGATTGGATTGGTTCGCCACCTTGCCAACTCCATTCTCGCCCCACTTGAGCTTGATGTAGTTGTGCCCGGCACCGCTGCACTCGAGGCGCGGTGGCGCCGGAGGAGCCGGCTGGGTGGTCAGCTTGGCATAGGCACTAAAGGCTCCCGCCCCGATGGCGTTCACCGCCTGCACGCGGAACTTGTAGCCGGTTTCGGGCATCAATCCGCTCACTGTGTATCTCGTACAGGCATCTGGAGTGGCGATGGTTCGTTCCCCATACTCAATGTTGTACGAGCAGATGGGCGAGCCATGGGCCGCCGGCTGCGTCCAGTTGAGGGTCACCTCCTGGGCGGTGAACTCGTAGCCCTGCATCTGCGGAGCTCCTGGCACGGCGGCCGGCGTGCACACGCTTATCACATCGGAGGAGGTTCCGGTGCCGGCGGAGTTGCTCGCCTTGATGCGGAAATGGTAGCGTGTGTAGGGCGAGAGGTTCCTCAGCTCCGTGCAGGTCTGCGCTCCCTGGTAGCAGTTGTGGAACTCGGAGCTCGGTGGCTCCTTTACCTCCTCCTCCTCCTCGCCATCCCTAATCCTCTCCTGGCTGGCACTCTTCAGCGTGTAACTGGTCACCGGTGCGCCGTTTTCCTGCAACGGCGGCTGCCAACTCACGCCCAAATGGGTGGCCGACTTGACCAGGACGCGCAGCTCCTCGGGAGCACCGGGCGCTGCGGCGGCTGCGGTGAATCGCATCCACTGCGACCAGTTGCCGTGGCCTATCCGGTTGATGGCCCGCACCTGGGCCTCGTACATGCCGCCGGGGGTGAGGTCCTGGGCCACAAAGTAGGCCTGCTTGCCGCGGTAAACCACTTGTGGAGGTTGCACCTGCTCCAGTCGCCTCATCTGGGCCTCAAACTCGAGGACCGGTGCCCCGCCATTGTACTCCGGATGCTGGAGCTTCAGGAGGGCGGCGTACGGCGAGGGCGGATCACTGCAGTGCGGCGGCGGCGGGGCAGACGGCGGCACCGCCTCCGTGGTAACGTGTCCAATGTCCGAGTAGGGACTCTGCCCGGCGGGACCTTCGCAGCAGGCCCGCAAAGCGTAGGTGGTGCCCGGCTGGAGGCGCTCGCACATGGCCTCTGTTTCGGCCCCGCTGTAGATCCGCTCGAACGCGGGTCCAGCGGCACTCAGCTCTAAATGGTAGCGAAGGATTTCAGCGCCACCCGCATCGCTGGGTGCATCCCAGCGTGCCTTGAACTGGGTGCCATGGATCTTGCCCTTGGCATGCGGCTTCCCGGGTCTCCCTGGACGTTCAGCCAAAGTGCGGTAGCTAACCTCCGGCGACCAGGGCGAGAAGCCCGCCTCGTTTTCGGACCGCAAACGGAACTGATAGCTGCTGGCCCGCCGCAGCTGCAGGCACTCGGTCAGCAGCTCTGTGCCCTTGTAGGTGTTCAGGTAGCCATGGCCTGATTCCGCATCCTGCAGCTGCAGCAGAAAGTCTCCATCCTGTGCCCGCCGCTCCCAGCCGAGCTTCAGGGAACTGGAAGTGCTGCCCAGCAGCTGCGGAGGTCGCGGCACTGGCGGCGGATTGCCCGAGGTGCTGTAGCTCGCCACTGGGGAATAGGGACTCTGGCCCGCCTCGTTCACGGCCGCCAAACGGAAGCTGTAGACCGTCGTTGGCTGGAGTTTCCCGATGACATAGTGCTTGGCCTTGATCTTGGCCAGCTCCACAAACTTCTGCGGCTGTCCCGCCATCCTACCCTCGTCGTATTCCAGCAGATAGTGCTGTATGCTGGCGCCGTTCGCCGCGGGAGCTGCCCAGCGCAGATTTATGGAGCTCTTGGTGCGGGAGACCAGCTTCGGCGGCGGCGGTTGATCGGGCTCACAGGCGGGCGTGCGAAATTCCGTGGGATCGCTGACCGTGCCGACCAGCTTCTCGTAGTGCACCTGCAGGCGCACCAGGTAATCCTGCCCTGGCTGCAGATCCTGCACAATGCACTCGTAGGCTTCGCCCTGGTAGAGACTCTTGTACTTGCACTGCTTGCCGGAATCACAGAGGAGCACTTGGTAGCGCAGCTGGCGCATATCCACCGTCACCGTGTCCGCGATGGCCGGACTCTCCCAGATGATCTTGGCCGCCCGCGCAGTCACATCGATCACCTCGGGCCTGTCAATGGCCGAGATCTGCTCGATGATGGTGTTCTCCCTGTGGTACTCCTCCTCATCGTCGCCGGCCAGACTGGAGTTGTCCTCGCCGTCCTCGGAGGTTCCCACCGAACTGGCGCCGCCCACACTGCTGCCGGTTCTCTGGGGCGGATTCCCGTTCCTGGTCTGCGTCTGCTGCTGGGCCACCGGGTGGTGCTGCTGCTGCTGCTGCTGCGGCAGGCGACGTCCTTGGTGGTTCACCACGTGGTGGTGACTGCTCAGGTGGCCGGGCAGGGTGACGCCCGGAGGAATGTTGTTGTTGTTATTGTGACCATTCAGTTCGTTGGCACGGCGCGGAGAGGGCGAGTGCGGGGGATCTGGATGGAAGTGGAATATATTAATGTGATCTCTTGGCAACACGAATGATTTTGTAGTTCGCTTAGCAGGGATATAACTTTAAAAATGCATTTAAATCTTGATAAAAAAATATTTTAATTCATTCTTTTAGTTAAAGAACTTATTTAAATTTTAAGAACCGTTTTTCTTTGGTTAAAAACTATTTTATAGTGCTTTCAAAATACTTTTATTTTAAAGTTATTGATTGTTCGAACTAGACAGATTCTAAATATTAAGGAATAACCAAAAGAGTATTTATCAAAATCAAAGAAGACTGTACTTAGCTTTACGTTTTTTAAGTAATATATTACTTTAGATCTTGAAGAATTAGGATCATATTCTATGGTATGCTATTGTCATTTAGTAATGTAATATGTTGTTTAATTATTTTCTTAGTTGATGAATATTCTAAGTCTTCGTTCTTCTTATTTTTAGACCTCAGTTGTAAGGATTGTTTGGATTTCTAAAAATATTAACTCTTAGAAATTTTAACAAAATTTAAAAATTGTTTTTTAGATCCTATACAATATCATAAAGTATGTTTTAATGGTTCTTTAAAACTTATTCCCAAGCCAGACGAACTACATACTCATTATTTAAGGTTCCCTGTGCCGCAGGATACTCACTTGACTCCCGCTGCTTCTCCAGCTTCCTGAGCAGCTTGTTGTGCTGCCGCTGGCTGCGCTCATCCCGGTAATTGGGCGGCGAGGGGGAGTGCGGGGAATGTGGATGGGCCTGTGGATGTGTGTGCGAGTGGGCGTGTGAGTGGGTGTGCGCGTGTCCATGTGAGTGGGTGGCTGGGCCATTGGTTGGTGCTCCTCCTGCTGCTCCTCCAGCAGTTGCTGTTCCAGGAGTTGCGGAGGTTGCTGCCACCTGCTGCTGCTGTTGTTGTTGTTGCTGCTGCGGAGGTGGTGCTCCTTGGGGCGCCTGCTGCTGTTGTTGTTGCTGCTGCTGCTGCGGTGGTGGTGGCGGCAAATGAAAGTGCGGCGGTCCATTGGCCGCAGGTCCTGGGCCAGGATAACCAGCCACCGGGGTGTAGAAATGCGAAGTGCCATTCGCGCTTATCTGTAAAAATAAACAACAAATTATATTTAATTACCCAGTTAAATATTTAAAAATATCCCGTTAAAATTACTTTAATAAGCAGCGTTTTGCCCGTTTTCTTAGGATCCTCCATTGTGGTTTCATTAAAAGATCATATATTTCTAAAAACACCACGTCAACATTTAATTTAACACGCTGGCTAAAAATATCTCGCGTCTAAAAAAAAGAACTGATAACAGCCAATTGATTTTCGGTTTCTTATCTTTCGCAAAATAAGAAAAACCAAAAAGGTACACGTTTTCTTTGCACACTGAATTCCTTAGACTTTGTCTGCTCAATTTGCATTGCCTTGTTTGTTTAGGAACTTTTTAACCCGCATAAATTTAAATAACAAATCAAACGCCTGAGACGTTTGTTTAATAAATTTTCGATTTGTGGGTGGTTTGGCTACTAGAATACACTAAAAAATACATTCAAATTCAGTGATAAATAGTGTCATTTTAAACACCACCCAAGGTTTAGATCCCAGATACTCTTTAGCCTGGACACGACCCTTTTGGGTACTATTATTTTTGGGGTGACCGTAAAAAGAATTTCATTTGGCGCGTATATTTAAAATTGAATTTCAAATGTGTTGCAAGGTGCTGTAGAAATATTCATTATATTTTAACAGTAAGTATGTTTTTAAAAAAATATTTTTTTGTTTCAGAAGAGCAGTCATTTCATAAACAAATTGGGAGTGACAAATTTGTATTTGTAGGGGCTCATTGCAGTAATAATATTTTTGAAATCTTTTTCATACCTACTTTAGTTAAACAACCTTTCTTAAAGCTTTAAAACCAGGGACCGTAAATAATCATTATTTGAGATTTTTATTTCAAAAAGACTACTGTGATATTTTGTTTTACACGTCAAAAATGACGTTCTTTTTACTCTTGCCCACAAAGTATATGCATTTCAACAAATCTGGAAATCAAATTAACTGTTACTTGTTTATGTCTATGAAGTGCAAAAAAACCAGTTAAATGGTTGATTAAAATATGTAAAAACCTCAGTAGGCCTTTTAAAATAAAAATCTCAAATAATGATTATTTACGGTCCCTGTTTAAAACGTTTTATGAAAAATATATTTTTTAGATTTTCTTTCATCTACTACTCTTTATAGTAATCATTTAAAAACCGTTAAAGTTGTAAACTAATTAAATATAATCAGTAGCCTTGTGAGAGCCTAAAAATTACATATGTATTTATTATCGGGCACGTTTAAAAATTTACAAACTAAATTCCCGATCCGAACGATTTCCCCCAGCAGATAGATCATTAAATAAATTGCCTTTGCGGTATATATGGGCAATTAGCCACGCCCGCATGCTACATATATTAACTAAAAATTGCCAAAGTGGCCCAACTGATGATTGATAATTTCGCTCCACCAATTGCTGCAAAACTGTGGCAAATGTTTTTCGCTAAAATTACTCTAATTTTACGTTTTTACATGACTTCAGTTGGCCTTATATCTAGGTTGTTCAATTTGTACGCTTTAAAACGTAGCTTTCCACGGTTCTTTTTTTTGGGATGGTCATAAACTATGAAAAGCCAAAAATATGGGTCAAAGTTAATGAGTTTTATTTTTGTTGCGGCTTTTTTAAGCTCGAAACAACAGCGTAAAATAAAGGAAAACAAAAGGAGCTAAAGTAATATATGGAAAACAAAAAACAAAGAAGATTATAACTTGTTCTGCGAGGGAGTTTCGGTTTCGCTTTCCGTTTCGGTTTCAATGGTGCGACAGATACCGTTATTTCGAGTGCTTAACTCAAGTTGCATAATGGATACTACAGCTATAGCAGCAACTATGCAAATTAGCATACAATCAAATTATAAACATTTCAACATAAACACACAAGCGGAAACTGCCATTTGTAAGGTGCTGTATGCGAATCCCTGTGTTTCGAACAGTGGCTCACGCTCAAGGGGTTGCAATTTCTTACATTTGCCAATTTTCGGAAGAGTTTCAAAAAAAAAAAATTTACAAACTTTGTTGGGCCTTTAAATTTTTTTTTTTTAGGTTCATGTGTTTTATAAAAAAATGCTGAAACTAATTCTAAGAAGATTATTAAAAATGTATAATCATTTTTGGAGCTGACTAAAAAAAAATAAACAAAATGTTTAAAATGTAATTTTTAAATTACTCTTATTAAAAAAAAAAATTTTAAATACCAGAAAAAAAAATAAAAAAATAAAAAAAAAAAAAATGAATCATTCTTTTGACTTTGGATAAATCGGAAACTGCAGGGTTTATCTTCAGCTATGCTCGAAAACCCCCTGCAAATTTTCCCAGCTTGTGCCCATGCATGTTTTCGAGTATGTTTTTCTGTTGTGTTGTGGCAGCAAATAGTTAATTAAGTCAAGGAAAATTCAGCCTCAGCCATTCAAGTCGGAATGGCGGAGTTGGGAGTAGGAGTCAGTTGAGCAGCCACCGCCGGCACTTTCATTTCACCAACAAAGCGTGACGAAGCCACATGTGTCCAAGCTGGAATGGGAATTGGAATCCGAGGCGGATGAAGTTGTTGCCCGCTGCATTAATCAAGTTTTCCACTGCGAAAACGGCATTAGGAATGGCGGGTTATGTAAAAATGTGACAGCAAAAGCAAAGTTCAGCTCAAGTGGAGTTCAATCAATGTTGCCACAAGCGTGCACCACCAGTCAGTTAAATTTACTAACTAACTTAAGATAAAACCACAAGAAGGCTCTACAAATTGTTATGCAAATCGAGGTTTTAGTCAGCATAAGGTGCAATTTTAGGAGTTGGGAAAATATTTATTTATTGTTCACATAAGTTGAATATTTTAAAATGAAAAATATTTGTTTAACTATTCCACAAATATTTAAATATTTAAATATTGGATAATTTACTTAAATATTTCAAAATGATAAATATACCACAAGTTTAACACACATCAACTTGACAACTTTAAAAGCAATTACATTTTCATTAAAATGAAGAACATGTTTTTTACTTGTCCGGTTCTTTTATTTATTTATTTGATTTGTCTACAATTTACAAATAAATCACCGCAAAAGTGTCAGTAAATAAAAGCCACTCGCCCCCGGAAAGCGCGTAATCAATGGAAATTATATAATTCACAGTGCAATTAATTCGGATTTTAATTGAGCGATTGATAATAATACAATAAATAACCTGAAGAGGGGAGTTGGGCAATAGAATTTAAATTGCGCTAGGCGCTGGTCCAGAACCGGATTTATAGTCTGGCCAAGTCACGAACTCGGATTGTTCGGGCCATCATCTCCGGCTCTTTGGTCAACGATTTTCCCTATTTTCGCTATGGAAATGAAAATATTTCAATTTTGCCCCGACTTTTTGTGTTTTTGCGTTGCCAACAATTTCTGCACATAAAAGAGATGATGGGAATGTTTATGCTGTACAATGAAATTGTTATTATTAAATTATTAGACATAAGTGGCGACGGGAGCAACAGTTGGGGGCTTGAAACGTGATGTGAATGGGTAACGCTCATCTGCTTTGGTTAACAAGCGTTTTTTTTCGTTCGTTCGTTTGCCATTTTGCAAATTAGCGAGGCAATTTAAATGGAATGCAGCAGCCAACAGAAGACTATGAACTTGGCCCATCATCATGGGAGCGAACTAGTTCCGCATGTTAATAAGCCCAGAAAGGCAAAAATAAATTCCAATGACAGTAATTTGTAGCAGTTAAACTTAAATAAAAATTGGTACATTTTTAGAAATTTTAAAATATTTAAAAAAAATATTTAGACGCAAAAAATTGAATAAAGAATTATATTTAAAGCAATAAAATCTAATCCAGAAAGTAAGAAGAACTAACTAATATTTGTTATATGTAGCAGTAATAGGTACTCAAAATGGAATAACTAGATTTTAGATAATTTAAAAAGAAATAAAATAAAATTTTACACACAAAAAAAAAATTAACAAAATGTAAAAATTAACCAATATTTTCTGATTTCATTTCTAACTTACAATTTGTATTATAAAAACGTGCTAATGTTTTATCGCTCAATAAAAATGTTCGTAATGTTTGGGAATTCCCCTCAAGTAAGTTTACTCTGACTTGAATAAATATATTTTTCGAATGGATATAACAAAGGAAAATGAAAAAATAATGTACAAATTAAATAATAAAATTAATTGATACATTTCTTCCATTTTAAATATTTTGTATATTCTTTAAGTCACCTGTCGATCAACCACATTTTCCCTTGGTAAACACCTACTCTCAACTGGCTAATTAGCATTCTTCGCAGAACGATTGTCAAAGCTCACGCCTAAATGACAGCTCGCGAAATGCAATGAAACGAATTCAGACGGCAAATAAACTGCCTCAGAATGCATTCGCCGTTCAAATATTTGCGCGCACAGTGAGTCAGAAGTTGAGCAATGCAAAGGGGGACTTTGGAATTGTGCGAAAATGGACTAATTAGTTATGCAATTTTCACACTTTCCCGCACCGCCACCCGCCCCCTCGCAAGTTTCCCCGGAAACTAGAAACTGGCGAAAGGCTAGCAAACAAAATGATATTGCAGTTTTGAAAACTAAACTTAAGCCAACCGATAAATAAATAAATTATAAATGCAAAAAGCGCCGACAGCTGGCCAACTGTTTTTCCGCTTTTGTTTTTGTTTAAACTTCACTTTAATTGTTTTTATTGTTTAGGTAAAAGTTTACCCATTTTAGCCATTGTTTCGGTCCGGTTCAGTTTGCATTATGCAAAGTCTGGCTGCAATTGAATAGTTTTCAGTTTACGGTTTTCCAGGAACCGCTGCTTCACCCGGATCCCATACGTCGACATTTGGTCAATAAATTATTTTTACAAACGCCCCCCGTTCGAAAATCGAATAAGCATCGGGGAATTATTGCTGCTGATTGCTGGTTGTTCGCTCAATTAGCTGTCAATTAATTGATAAGCGGAGGAAGTCCCGCCAATGGGATGGAAATGAGATACCGATAGCGACGCCGACATCATCTTCCCTTTCCGATGGGGGTATATATTACTCTGTAAGGCTTTATCAATTGTTTGCCATTTTCCGATTCACTTTGAATTGCACTTCAGTATCAATTAATTTATTTACAGGAATTTCTGCAGCATACTGACATATTTCCCATTTGATTTTATTTTGTAGAGAACCCAAAAAATTTTATAGGAACCTTACCAAAAACAATTTTTAAGTGTTTTATTTTTTTATAAACCGCTTTCAAAGTAACAAGTAACCAAAAAAGATAAAACACTTTGATTTCTTTTATAAGGAACTTATTGAAATACTTCCAGTAAATTATGGTTAGATATTTTTAAGATCAACTTTAATTCTTATATTAGAAAGCAAAGTAATTTTTGAAATACTGCATACGAAGCTATTTTTTTACTCAGCACTTGAGTTTGATTTGCTGATTTCTGCTTTTGAAAAAATAGTAAGTAATTTTGTGATAGGAGGAATTCTTTCCCTTTCCCGAAAAATAATATGTCGGTGTAATTATAAAGGTGCTACTTACGAAGGGCGCTGGATGGAGGTGTCCCTGGCCAGGATGCAGTTGCTGGTACTGCTGCGGCGAGAGCATCACGTGGGTCAGCGTTCCGTTCTCGTTGACGTACTGGGGCACCTGGACGGGCACCGGCATCGGGGGAGGGGGTCGGTTCTGGGAGACCATCTGAACGGCGGGACCTGCAAGTAGCGAACGAAAAGGGGGACAAATTACTTAAGATTCAACAACCCAACAAGCGGCAATATGCTGATGATGTGTGCGAGTGCAAATGTGAGTGCTACTATCTCGCGGATACAATATAGTACACATATGTATATGTGTGTACCATATATATAGTCATGTATGAGGGCACAAGTTAAAGCAGGCGACAGCTGGCGCCAGCGGGGCGACAGCTAGACAAGCGGGAGAAAGGACGAGATGGGGGGATTCCAGGACATTGCCAGGACAGCCATTGCTGCTTTATGTCAGCGGCGATTTCTCTGTGTTTGTTTAATGGATATCTCTCTCTCCCCAGCCGACTCTCTGTCTTTTTGTGGATGTGTGCAAATATATATGCACAGAGAAGAATTTATTGTTTAGAATCTTCTAGTTTCTATGTTTACAGCAATGCATAAGTATTACCTAAATTACAGAAAATAAAATAGGATGATATATATCTTTTTTTAAGCCAGTCGGTAGCCTCAAAAGCTAGTTATTCCTTTTTCTAAATTAGGTATTAGATTTTAAATGCCATTTATACACTATATTTAAAACAAAACACGAAATATTATGTACCTATATTTATTACAAATATTTTATCTATAAATAAATTGACCAGGGTTGTAGAATCTGTATATCAATTGGAATTCAACTGAATGTTATTTTTATTTTATATTTTTATTTATTTATTGATATATTAAATTTCAATTTCAAAGCCAAAATATATTACTTCTTTATATTTTTTTCGCCCAGTGCATATTTTGAATATGTATGTTTGTGTTTGCTGCAGCCAACAAAATGCTTGACAGAGTCTGCCAATTTCTGGCTCCCTCGTCGCCTCGAACTACTCAACTACGATACGCATACGCACCGTTGCCCAATTCCGATTTCATTTGCAATTTAAGTCTGCCCGATGATTAATATCCAGCCCGTTCCGATCCGTTCCGTTCCGCTCCTGTCATAGGCACTGCACTGTCCCCGTCCCCGTCTCCTCGATAGTTGGCTTTAATAAATGTGTTGGAAGCATAGAAGAAGTCTCTAGAGCAAACATTTCTTGGCAGCCTCATTTCGCGGCGAGAGAGAGAGAAAAATCGAGATTTGGATAGTGCGGAGGTTGGGGAAACGAAGTTGTTGGGGGTTCTTGGCAGGGCATCGGATTCGGAATCAGAATCATAGCCTCAGCATTGTCTGGATATGTTTCGGGCTCTGGTTTCGCCACTCTGTCATTAGGGAGAGAAATACCATGCCATTGCCATTTCCATTCCCATTTCCATTCCATCTGGGGATCCATTTCAGCTGCAACGTTGTCGCATGTCATTGCCACAGAATAAACGACAGCCGACCGCCCCGAAAGTTGCCCCCTCAAACAATTCAGATATATTTTGATTTGTGGATTTGTATTGCTTTTCAATTCTATTTCTTCATTTTTTTTTCTTCTTGATTTTTTTGGCTGCAATGCGACGAAGAAAATAATGGAAAAAGCTAAAGACTGGGAATGAGCAAACATTTGTTAACGGAAGATGTCTGCTCGAGATTAGCACATAATTCGGTTTGATAAATGATAAGCCACTGAATGTCCGGCCAGACTTGTTGATAAACCTGCATTTGAAGTGGAATAATTGAATTATTTGTGTAATACATTGTTAAATGCCATGTTAATATTAATGCGGTTGTCCCGACCATAAATCAAAGGAATGCATTTATTGGTTATATTTTTTATTATTTATTATGTATATTAAAGATTAAATTTTAACACTCACTTGACGTCCCCGCTACTTAAATTCCCACGCTTTATCACATGCACATAAATTTTTAAAACCGAACCGAATACGAAAAAAAGCGAGTCAAAAATCCATGTTCATCATAAAATGCATTCCATGTTTGCACATCAATATGGATGGGTTAAAATTCGATTCCCAGCTGCAGAATTGCACTTTGCATGCCGGGGCACGTAGAACGAAGGAACGTGGCCACGCCCACTTGTGGCCCCTTTTTGGCATTTCCCACTTCTATTTTTCATTTTTTTTTTGCATTTTCCCTGCCTTTTAGTTTTTTTTTTGTGTTGAGTTTTATGCGCCTTCTGTTCTGTTTCGCCGGCTAAACAATGCAGAGTTGCATTTTTTATGGACACCACGCGGCGTATGCGTAATGTCGGCTAATGGATTGCGGGGAGGTTATCGTGTGAGAGGCGTGCATGTTTGTGGAAAGGGGATTCCCCCGCTTTCGCTTTAACAGTTAAACTGTAAACTTAACGGTAATGCGGCTCTTAATACGCTTAGCCATGTCTCGCACTCATTGAGGCCGAAAATGCTGGGCCCCGCCGTTCAATCAGGCGTTAAATGCCATCCGCCGGCAGAAATTACTAGACTACAGACCACCGGAGTCCCGAGTTCGAGTCCCCTCTGTCCGGTGTCTCCTCTTGATCTGCTCTTAGGTGTAAAAATGTTGGTTTAGTGCGCTGACGCATAATGCGACTGAAAAGCGGAAAACCGATGATGGCTGATAAACTTTTCTCCCTTTTCTTCCTTTTCCCCCCTTTTTGCCACACACAATACCCAATGCAGTTAATCATTCTGTGAGGGGAAGGGGGTTGGGTTGCGTTGGGTTGGGTTTTTAGGGGCCGGAGAAGATTGTCTGGCCAGGAAATGCACACCGTTCCGAGAGCGAGATAGATGGCAAGTGAATTTCCCCCCAAGTGTTAAAAGGCAGCAATTAGTTGGGCGAAAAGGGGGTTGGCTACTCTAAGCAGAGGAACAGAGGAGCAGAGGGGGATGGCTTATCACTTGGCCAGCAGACAGACGGTTAAATTAAGTACTATACTTCAGCGACTAAGTCCTCCCCTTCCTTACCCCCGCGAACGTCTGCAACTTCTACTCAAACTTAATTAATGCTAAACTGCTTAAGAAGCGATCTGGGGCCGGGGTTCTTGGCTGGCGAGGTATTTTGGCCAAGGAAAGTGTAAGTTACCAAGGAGTTGCAGAGCAGTTTCCTCGGATTCCAGGGAGTATCAACTATTAGGGAAATTTAAATATTTTATGCTTCATGGACTTAAGACCAAAATGAGTATTAAAGTTTAGAATAAATCAGGAAACTTTTAAATGAGATGATTTAAGTCTTGAAGAAAATCATGGGAAACTTTTTCTGGCGATATTTGTAAAAGAAAATGTTTATTTATTTCTTAAAGATTTTAAAAATATTTAATAATGTTATTAAAACGTGAGACATACAATTACTCAATAAAATTACAGTTACGTTAAAATTAATTAATATTAAATAAAAAAAAATGATATGCAGTGACAAAACAATTGGTCGGAACTTTTTAAATTAAACAAGACAATTTTAAATGTTAATATTTATTTCTTAAGTAGTGAAACTCGAGTACACACATATCAACCCTCGCTATCTCATCATTCACTTCAATTTTCTGCCCCGATGCGTTGACCTTGTCCCTGCCCCCCGCCTAAACCCCTCTTGGCCCCCTTTAAACCACTCTCCATTCCTTCGACAGACAGTGTCAAAATAAAGTTGCGGCTCAAACGCGTTTGGGCTAATTGCAAATTGTTATTGCTTTCCTGTTGTTACGCATTGTTGAACCACTTGGCTTCCTTTCCCCCCTCCCCTCAGTCGGTCGTTTGTTCAGTTAGTCAGTGTCGAGGGTCGGGGTTTCAGGGGTGTCAGGGGTCAGGGGTCAGGGCTGTTGTCTGGAGGCTCCGATTGTTGGCATCACGCACACGCATAACACGCACAAAATGTCTATAAAATTAATAACAATTCGGTTAGCAGCCCAAAACCGAAAACTTTGATTGAGGAAACTCAAGTAGTGATTGCTATTCGGATTGAATGTGTTGTTCGATATGTTCAAGTGAGTTATTGTCGAGGAATTTATCTTATTATATGAATATTTTATATATATTATTCTCATCCACGCTTTGCTCCTTTGATGAATGCCCAGGGAGTTGAATAAACTTTCGATTGTCTTGAGCTTGATTTATGATTCTTATTGATTGGAGGATATGCAAATGATTTTTGTGTGCGAGGGTGTCAATTTGATATGGATACTATTGATTGGAAAACTTAACTCCCGAGGGGCTTTTGGTCCGTCGCTTTGATGTTCTCGATAATTACCCACCGAATCTCGACCAAATTGCGGTTAGTTGGCTCATTATACTCAACACTTTTCCTCACTTATCTCAAATTCCCATCTCATGGTAATTGCGCGACTCGCTCTTTCTCCAGATCTCGACTTCTCAGTTTCCCAGTCTCCCTACAAAACTGTCTCCCTCTTTCCCCTTAATTCATCTCCAATTAACGATGCGTGCGCAATTATCTCGATAATTATGTTGAAACACAGAAAAAAGACGAGAAACAACAAAAAATGGCTTTCGCAAAATGCAATTAGAGCAGAACACTCACGAATTCCGTCATGGAAAGCGCTGGCAGAAAATTTCTTTAAGAGTTCTCTTCACTTTGTTCACGACATCGCGCATTAATTGCGCATACGCCCCGTTAAACGGAGGACGCTTGCCCACAAATCGAAGGCAACAAAATGCTCTAAGGCCCAATTGATTGATGGTTTGTCGGGGGGTTGGAAAACCTCTGGAAACAGAGGGGAAATGTGAAAATGGAGGAGGCTATTTGGGGAGTTGGGGTGGCGCCACCTAGCGCCATTTGGCAGTCTGCACGTGTCACACGTTTTATCCGAGAGCTTCACTGAGCGAAAAAACATCTTTCAAAAATGTAAAAAAAATATGGGAGTAAAAATGAATTTCTTGTGAAGGATTGTAAACCTCCTAATAATATTAAAATTAATTAAAATATTTAAAAATAAGAATTTTTACCATCTAAGTAAAAAATATATTTAAAATATGGTCAGGATATTTGATTGATATTTTTCCAGTGCCCTGGCCCCTGTGTATTTATTTGAATTTCCAATAATTCCACAGCCTCTGTCTACTTTTTCCCCCGCGTCATGAAAATATTG